GTACTATTCCTATCGTGAATAATAGCCATATTTTCGTAACCAGTGCAGCCAATGTCCCGGTTAACTCCAGATCCGTCACAGATAAAAAAATTGAGCATATATCGACATTTTTGGTTCTCTGATATATAATCGCTTGAATTTAACAAAAGAAATCATAAACCAAACAAACCAAGAATGTTTTCTAGAGGGCCTCCGAATGACACAAAAGTGCTTGAAACCCCGTCTTCAACATTTTAGAGTTCGGATAGAACAAACTCCAACACAACACACAAACACAAACTGATTGTACAGCCAACCAGTAACATTCTAATGGTGGTGATGTGTTGACTTGTATTCTATGCATAGAAAACCGTTATAAATAATTACCGGAAGGATTTTTAATAAAAATGGCCAAAAATAAATTTTCTGAAAAAAACTTCATCTCTTGCAACAAGGCTTGTCCCCGGGTGATAGATTGAGGGCGATTGCGGACCACTTATGATCCTTCAAGAGGCAGCATCCGAGGTCTGAACGCTGCGTTTGGTGGATAGAGTCCAGTAAACTCATTCTACGGGAACAGCGTCAGGCTTCGTATGCTGTCCTACTCCGTTTGAGTATTTATACGCTAGACAAAAGTGTTCTTTTGACCAAAAAGCCTGATCGAATTCCCAAGGAAAATAAGAGTTACGCAAATTTGAAGACTTAACAGAATGAAAACAGCAGGCATTTTTGTGAGTACCGGAAATCTGCGATCTCCGATAGATAAAAACTTCTTACTTGTTTCTCCCAGCCTGCATCAAATACTTTGATGAATTTTTGACCCAAATATTGTTGCAACAAGTAACCTTGTTTCTTGTAATAGCGTGTAAAATTTTTATGGGCTATCCGGCAGCAATATCTCGAAAGATATTCTCCAAATTTGAGCGTCAAGTTTGAATAGTTTTGCGCTCGATGAACGTCAGACATCGAATGTCTGTGAAATCATCGAATATGATTGAGACCGAGTATTCATGTTTGATGAAATAGTAATTCGACTAATTGCACGATCGAATAATAGAACATTTGAAAAAAAAACGCATTTTCTGTTATTCGAATATTTGAATATTCCGTCACGCCCAATTATTCGATGATTCAAATGGTCGGATATTCGGGATCCTCCTATTCGAAATTTCGGATTTATGTATATTTCAAATTGCGATTTGATTATTTTTCAATTGTTTGAATATATTCACAACGAAAGAATACTCGATATTTGTTCATTCGAAAAGTTTTTCAAATACGATTGTTAAATAAACGCAAGATATCGAAAATTTCATAAAAATTTCCGCTGAACCTTAGGCAATTTTTGCATGGTTTATATGCTTTTGTACCCCATACCAACACTTCGTACTGACTACTTCCATTCGCATTTCATCGGTAGCGCAAACATGTCACAACTCTCTACTTCTTCATTCAAGGTTAGTTGCTGCGACAATTAAAAGTGAATGGGAGAACTAAAGTTTTGACAATATCTATGTTCGACGATGGTACTTTGCAGCTCATAGAATAATATGCTTTCAGGTGCTGTTATGAAGCCCCACATTCTTAATGCGAACTATCCATTCTAAGCTCATAAGGTACTAGTTAATAAGCCCTGTAGGCTTCCAGTAAACCGTATCATAATGCGTGTTAAGATGTGAAATTTCAAGAATTGGAACAAAATCGTACTACGGACAGCGCAACAAATGAATACTCGATAGTTTGAAAAATTCCATACTCAGCAGGATTTTAAAATGAACGCCGGAAATTTTGATTACTCTTCAGTCTTTGAAATTTCTTAGTTACGCGTGAGCTGTATTTAGCTAAGTAGGAGGTCTTTTTGTAAGCTGACTATGCTGACCTAATTGCGAAAGATAGATAAGCTCACGTTATAAAGAGTCTTGGACGCCGTATTCTGAAAGGTATTACTCCACTCTACAATCGCTGGTGAATTGAAACAGTGGTATATGGGCCAAAGGTAACGATATTCGTTTTTTTTTTGATCAAGAAATCCTGCAGTTTTTGACGTTAGCAATATTATAATTGTAACATAATCAAACGTGCTAGGGAAGTATAAAAATAAGTTTCTGCTGTTGGACATAAATCTGCTCATACAAATCTTTATCAAACACCTAAATGTGTTTTCTACAGCGAAATTGAGCTTGGTGCTATAGCAACCTAGTTTGAATATCTGCTTAATATCCTGGAGCAGTGCGGGGTGGTGGGCAGTGGTCGCAACTTCCTGGACCTCCATTGTCTCCATTTTCACCATCGGAACCGTTGTCACCAGGCTGTCCAGGCGCTCCTGGGTTTCCATTGTCTCCAGGAGGTCCTGGTGGCCCATCGTTTCCGTTGTTTCCTGGGCCTCCAG